ATAAGTAATGTGACTGTATTTTAAACAATCTAATGATAGAACGTTACGTATAATTATGTCAACCATTATATGCATGATTCAATTCATTAACTTTTATTAAAATGTACTAAAAATTGTATTTTAATATACACCAAACAAGGACAAAATGAATCAAAGCTGGCTTTCTTCTTCTTAACTATATCCATCACATTTATTTATGAAATGACTTAATTAAGGGCCCTAAATTTATTTTTAATGTTGGTGGGGGTGGATGACAGAACATATTAACTTGTTTTTAATTTAGGATCAGGAAATAGATGTTTCTTATTACTTTATATATGTGTGATGAATTGTGTCGGTACCTACCATTGAAATTTCAAAAGCAAAGGAGATCTATATGCAAACTAAAAACTAATCCAAATATTTGAGTATGGTCATTATTCATTCTAAATGAAATTTTAGAACGAAAATTCGGAAATTTAATAATTGTTAGAAATTTAATTCAATAAAATATACGATGTTGGGTTAAAAAAGAGAGGGGGAAATCACATGGAGATGTCACTTTTGTAAGAAAAAGTGAAATGTGTCTACCTTTTTTAGTTTTTTAAATGATATTTTATTTACTGTTTAAATTTTTGTCAATTTTTCTGAATTATCATTTTTCTTTTCAAAAGTAGGGTTTGGCAAATCTCCCGAATCGAACCGAACCCAATGGTTATTGTCAAATTAAATACCCGAACGGGTATTTGAATTGAAAATCGACGGGTACAGTTCGATTCTCGATTCTAGACCAAGAATCGAAGAATCGAATAAGAACTGAATCTTCCTAATTTTTTTTATATTGAGTAAATCAAATTATTTTAATTTTAATTTTTCTACACAAATTAACAATTTCTACATCCAAATTTTTGGCTCAATAATTTGTTTCATTTCTAATTTTTTAATTTTTGGCCAAATTACCCATTTTATTGTTTCATTTCTTAGCCCAACAAGATCAAATCCACTAAATAACCCTAAACACATACACTAAAGTGCATAACGTTGTCTCGACTCTCGCACTCACTTTCGCAGCCTCGTTAACATTCCAAAATCTATACAATCGTCGGCCAACGCTGTGACCTCCAATTGAAACTGTGACCTCCGCCGACCGAAATTTTGACCGTAGCGATCATTTGAACAAGGTAGTCTACTAGTTTCTGACATTCCAAAATCATTGAATGTATCATTAGTTGTATTTATATAATGTTGTTATAAATGTTAAAAAATTTAATTATAATACAGAACTGAACCCAAATGGTTCCATAATTATATTTGGACCCGACGGTTCCATTTATTATATACCCGAAAATTTTGGTTCGATTCGGTTCTCCGCGTCCACCCCTATTCAAAAGTGTTACTGTATTAACTCTATTCCTTTTATACGAATTTCAAACCATCTGAACATTATTGACACACAAAATGGACGACGTTCTAGCCCATTTAGACACCCTAATCCTCTTCATTAATAAAAATAATATTCGTCAATTTAGCTCACACGATATCTTAACATCCAAATTTCAATTTAATTACTGACATTCGGGATATAGTATGAAAAATACATAAATAATGTTACAATAACAAAAGAAAAAAAAAAAAAAAACCAGAGATGAATTCTAAAAAAAAAAAAAACAAAAATTTCTCAATTTCGACATAGGAACACAAGTAACATACTAACGTCTTATCGAATTCTAAACTCCTTGTCAAGTTTATTTGATTTGCTAGAACCACTTTTGATTTATTCATCAAACTAGTACAAATTATATTAAAGAAGGAAAACACAAATGTCTCCATGTTGGATACGGCTTAAAATTAAAATTTTAATCTAAATTAAAGTCAACATTTAATTTAAACCACATATTCTATGAATTCCACAACTTTTTAACCATACGTTTTATCAACTATTATGAAAATCTACTAAAAATCTGATTTTAATCTCCACCGTAACATACACAATCTTGAAAAATTCAATTACATGATTGATGTATTAATTTCAACAACTAATTAAAGCAACCAAACTCCGGTTAAATAAGTAAAATCATATTTCACAAAATCACTTCGCAAAAAGTTTAATGGCTAAATTCGAACAAATAAATATATTTCTTTTCTAATAGTTGAGTTTGACAGCAAAAATTCGTCATGATCGTGAGATGCATGTTCAAGATCAAAAAGATAAATCTCTTCTCACTACAACAAAAAAAAAAAAATTGTTGCAACGTTCAAAAAACGTTGCTGTAGACTTTTTACAACGTTCGGATGTATGTTGCAAATCTCAATGTTGTCGTAGAGCGGAAGGATACTACAATTTTTTTAAACATTGCCGTAGACCGAAACGTTGCGGTAAGTATCTACGACAACGTTGTCGTAGACCAAAACGTTGCGGTAAGTATCTACGACAACATTTAAAAAAATGTTGCCGTAAGTGTTTTGCAACAGGTTTTTTTTTTTTTTTTTCTAAGTAATTTATGTATTGACTTGCAAAATTGAAAATGACAAGTTTTGTAATTGCATAAAAATTGATAATTTCATTACATATTTTTTAATACACATGCAAGGCAGTGCTATAGTATAGTTGGCTATTTAATAGCGTAGATATACAAAAAAATTTATTTGCGTTATGCATTAGTTACATAAGATTTAAGCCCTGAATACACAAAAGATAGGAATTCCTTTCAGCATTGTAACACTCCTCTTCATCGGAACCTTTCTCTTCATCAGAAACACAGCTCCAACTTCATCACTCATTTGGGTAGAATCTCCTTAACAAACAATATAGAAAAGTTAGTATTTGAAAATTTATAGTTTTTGAATTCAAGAATGATAAAGAGAAAGGGATATACCTGGACATTGTCTGATATGAAGAACTTCATTAATGATCTTAGGAATATCAATATATATGTATCAATCACCAAAAGGAAGAACAAAATCCTATATTACATAAAACACAGCAACAAATTCCTACATTGACTAATCATACATTCATAGTTACAGAATAACTCAACCAAGGCTGTAATTGAAATTTTGAGACCTAAGCATTTTATTTGTGTGTGTATGTATTAATGGAGTTCTATATTTAAAAAATTAATTATTTCAAGACAAATTGGACCCCTATAACACAGGCATCGAGTGGCAAATTAAATTAAAGAGTGGTCCAAGTGATATTGACAAATTCGATTAAGACTGCATTGCATGCCCTTAATACATACCTACTAATAAGGCTTTTTAATAAGGGTCTGGTCAGCAAGTGTATGACTTCTGCATATGCATTTCAAATCAAATTTAAAGGAAACAAATCAGAATTCAATTGATGATGGAAGCCAAGAAACATCAGAATGGTTGTCGCCAATCAAATAATTTGTGCCACGCTTTCTTCACTATGACCATGCATACGACCAAGTAAACAATGGCTGGCCATTAATTAATTTGTATGCTAATTTGGTTCCATGCATAAATATTTTTGTACAGTTCATATATCATATCATTGCAAAACATGTTACTAATGGGGTAAATCTTTCCTACAGCATAAGATCTCCAATGGTAACATAAAATTGAGTAATATATCTTTAAAATCACTTTTGAAATCCTCATTTATATCCCGATGTATCTGAATCCAAATTTTGCTCCAATCGAAACATTTGAATTCACTTTTTACCTCTTGTGGATGTAAAAAAAAAAAGATGCAAGCTGAAAAATACATTTTGCATATCTTCTAATGAGATGTTTTCTGACACTTCGGAGATTTAAATCTATAATTTACACCATCATTAAAGATGCGCTAACTAAGTAATCTCCATCAAGATTCAATCTTTATCAACCGAAAAAGAGCATGGCTTACAATTTAATGATCATCAACTTCTCAAAGTAATTATGTTCAAAATGCATGCTAGACTAGACTGATGTTATGGATTAATCCCTATAATTCATACTATGAAGAGCAATAATCAGCAGAAAAATGTGCAAAGCACACATTTACGCGGATAAGCTTCTATCTGTACTTTAGAGAGAAATAATAGATATAAAAGAAATAAAAAAAATACATAAGCTGACTCGAACACCCACTGTCATATTAAAAAAAAAAAAGGTGACACATAACTATAATGGTTCATCCTAAACGTGAGAATTATGTTTACTCACGACTACAAGTTTGTTCACTATGACACTGGAAAGGATATATTCGCAATCTAATGCTTTCCATCCGGTAAAAAATTGTCCCTTGAATTTTTTCTATATATATCGAATAATACCCCTAAATTAAAATTCGTCTCCGTGTTAGTGATAATCTAGTCCCAAACCCCCTCAAGCAGTTGATAACTGAGGCTCCAAACGATCTAATGTATAAAACTAGAAATAACAACCAATTATTTTTATGAAGTAACTTAACAAACATGAGTGAGTATAGATCATAAAAACAAAACTAGCCAATGGCATGATTTCATCTATATGTTATGCCAGCAATACTTTCTAATCCAATACACTGTCTGAGCTGGAACTTAAAAATAAAAATAAAAAATGCAATTAAAATCAATAAGAGTAAAAGATATATGAATCTGCATCTATAAGTGCTTACATCGGTGGTGAAAGGTTCGGTACATTTGAGGGGATAGGAGTCATGTGCCTTAGACAACCTGCAATAAATGCAAGAGGTTTGGGCCCTCTTCTCTTTGGAAATATTTACACTCATTAATTATGGTTTGGCTACCCTTGAATCTTGACTAAAAAGAAGTTCTAACTTTTTAAGTTACTGAAAAAAAATATAAGCAAAATAGAAGTAGTTTATAAGACAGTAATTATATGTACTTATTTAACTCTTGTTTTAAACACGTTCATCAGTAGCCGACAGAATTTTCATTTCTACAGGCTGCAAGAAACCACATTGTCTTAAATTTGAGAAAAGATTTGGGAAAGAAAAAAACCTTTTTGTTCTAACCTGTGATAGTATTGTATATATATTAGACGGTGTTGAGGAAAAGGAAAAAAACTTATTTCTTGAGAGAAAATTGTATTGTTTCTGTTCAACCACCACCAAACTTTTTTTCCTTGACCAGAAAACGATTTTAATGTAGTAGTGAACTTATTTATCTGTTACCTGTAGGTACGTGTCTAAATCCACATATCTCTTTCTTTTTTTCATTCTCCCTATAGAATTTCAAGAGGGGCTTCTCCCAATTAAACGGGGTCGATAAGTGTCCTCCGTCGGTGGATTAAATTTCCATGTATCATTAGCAGAAAATCCATAAAAAATAAGAGGGTCTAAGACCCCATTCTCCTGTCTTCTTTTATGGTTCTGTGGAAAGTGGAATCTCCATTTTCATAGACGAAGAAGAAGAACCCGTTCGTGAAAAAATGGCTGCAGTGGTTCAAAAAACCAAATTAGTTCTTACAATGGCTGGAAGTTTTCTTAATGATGTCCTGAGTTTAATTGTTTTCACTCTTCTAGACGTTCTTGATTTTGTCTTATGTTATGTGTACAAAATTATGGATTTCTTCATTGAAGCAGACTGGAAACCTTGTTATTGTTCATCAGCAAAAGAAGCGATTACAAGCAGTGGCAAGATCTTACTTTCTGAACGAGGAGAGCCTAAAAAAATTGTGCGTTTAACTTCAAGCCAATTGCAGCTGGAAGAAATCTCAGACACACTCTACACACGCCCTTCACTGGTGTACGAGGTTTCAAAATCTACTGTCAAAAGGCTTAAAGTGGAGGGCAACAGCAGTGGTTCGGGTTCTTCCATGATCCAATCTCGTGAGAAAATCAAGAAAAAAAGAACCGTTGGATCAACATTTACTATTAATTCCACCATTGTTGAAATGCTTCAAGGAAGGATCGGAGGGCAGCAATCACTTCCCATTCCTAGATGGTCGGATTGTGATTGTAAAACCTGCACTTCATGGACTTCTTCTTGCAAAGAAACATTATTTGTCAAAACTGACGGAGCTAAAGGTAAAAAGAAAACACACTATAACAAATATTTGTATTAGACATAGTTTTAGACGAATTTCGGGATTTCAACGAGTAATTAATGTTGGGTTTTCAAACAGATAATGTGCAAGAAAATGTGCTGTTCATTCATGGTTTCATATCATCATCTGCCTTTTGGACTGAAACATTGTATCCAAATTTTTCGGAATCGGCCAAGTCGAAATACAGGTTATTTGCAGTGGATCTGCTTGGTTTTGGAAGGAGTCCTAAGCCAACTGATTCACTTTATACACTAAGAGAACATTTAGACATGATTGAAAGATCAGTTCTTGAGCCATACAAAGTGAAGGGCTTTCACATAGTTGCACATTCATTGGGCTGCATTTTAGCACTTGCACTTGCAGTCAAACATCCAGGCTCTGTCAAGTCCCTAACTCTACTTGCACCAGTAAGTTCTAATTAAATTCTCCGCTCTCTCTCTCTCTCTCTCCCCCCCCCCCCCCCTTAAAACTGTTTAAACAAGAAGTTTTTAAAGCAGTGCATCTTAATACATCATTCTATTTATAGCAGCAGCTTAAGTTTTTAAACTTGGCAACAAAACAAGCATGAAACTCGAAATTCCATAACCTAAGTATGAAGCACAAACAAAGAAATCTTGCCCTTTGGAGTTGTCATTTATAATTGCATGCATTTGTTTAAGTACGAATTACCATGTAAACATTACTATTTTCTTAATCATGTTCGTATGAATAGATTAATAATTACGTATATATGGCAGCCATATTTTCCACTACCAAAAGGTGAACGAGCCACACAGTATATGATGAGAAGAGTGGCCCCACGGCGTGTGTGGCCATTTATAGCTTTTGGCGCTTCAATTGCTTGCTGGTATGAGCACATAAGCAGGACGATCTGCCTTCTAATTTGCAAGAACCACCGTCTCTGGGAATTTCTCACCAAACTGATCACCAGAAACAGGTATGAAAAAGTCTCCTCTTATCAGACCTAACTCATTTCTTAGGGTCAATACGTTGCACCAGCCTATTTTGACGAATCACGACTGTATCTAAGCTACTTATTTTAAAAGTAACCTCTACGTAACTGCGAAAATTTAGCCCCAGTTTTAAGATCATTATTTAAAAATTATTTCTTTTACGTACTTATTTTCAATCACACACTTACAGAATAAAAATATTCTACACATAAATTCAAAATTTTTCTTTATTTCTTAATCATACATTCTCCTAAAAATCACCATTCAAAACTTAATTTTTCCCAAATAATGATTATCAAAGATGGGCGAAGTAAATTTTTTGAGCATGTTGAGTAAGCAGTAATGGAAATGGCCTTTAAGCATGCAGATGAGTGTCTGCTGTCAGCCCCAATCCTTCGGTTTGTTGAACAATATTTATAGCTAATCAATCTTCCCGACTAATATGCCAATAAGTTTTAGATATACATGCTCTATGCTTAGAAAAGCTTTTAGAAGAAGTCAACTTTAGATGATGTTTAAAAAGTCAAAAGTTGCTGAAATTAAGAAGTTGATTACGAGGAAGTTGACATAAGGTAATTTTTTCGAGAAACTCTTCTATAATAAGTACGAGTAGAGAAACTTTGTAAAATAAATCCTAAATATTGTATTATAAAAACACTTCTAGGTAGAGTATTTATTTAGCTCTAAAAATTGTGGTAGAGAGAAGCAAATACTAAATGAAGTATTCAACGTGGCACTCAATAGTATCAAAATACAATGTAAACGTCCTCCTCATGACATGTACAATGCAGTAATTAATGTTATGAATTTAATTGATTTTATCTCCACCGATATTAATGGTCCACCGACTTTTTAGTTTTTTAATAGAAAATCCATCACAAATAATTGCAATAAAATTGGGGAATATGAACGCATTTTCTTTGTTTTTAAAACGTAAATTAATAAAACTTTAAAGAATTTTGAAAGCTGGGCTAAGACAGGTCAAATATGGTTGAGACTTTTATTTGTAAAATGACAGAAGCTGATCTACGTTCAACGTTCGTAATAAATAATGTTTGGTACTGTTTTACTTATTTCCAAAGTAACTTATAATCCGCATGGTTTATTAATTAAAAGGGTTATTAAATAATGTTTTACAGGATCAGAACATACTTGATGGAGGGATTTTTCTTACACACACATAATGCAGCATGGCATACTCTACACAACATTATTTGTGGTACTGCTGGAAAAATCGAAGGATACTTGGACGAGGTTAAGAACCGGTTGAAGTGCCATATAACTATATATCATGGCAAAGATGACGAACTTATTCCAGTCGAGTGCAGTTACAATGTGCAATCAAGAATTCCTCGAGCCCATGTTAAGGTCCTCGAAAAAAAAGATCACATCACTATAGTTGTCGGGAGACAGAAGGCATTTGCTAGGGAACTCGAGGAAATTTGGAGGAACTCGAGCGGCTGAGTTCGATCGGAGTCCTCTCTTGGGAGAGCGAAAAATGTTCATGCATCCTATATGATCACCATGAAAGTAAAGTTCAATTTTATATCAAGATTAGAGTAAAGAAAATTTGAATTTGGCAGGTTTTCTAAATTAATCCCTTTCTCATCTGCTATGAAATGTATAGGCCGTGTGAAATGTATTATGTAGGTGTGAAATGCTTCTTAATCTTGCTAATGAGTTGGTAAATTATAAAAGGAGAGCCAGCCATAAAATCTATAAATATATATTTGGCTCAAGTTATTAAAGTGATTTTTATTTTCCTATTGAGAGTAGGATTGGCAATTGGGCTCGCCAGCTCGAGCTACCCGTGGCTCGACTCGAAAAAAGTTTTGAGTCGATTCAACTCGAGACCGATTTGGATTCCTGGGCCAAGCCTGAGCCGACCCGTGTGACTCGCGAACCTTATATAAATATTAAAAAAATAATAATAATAAAGACAACAACCTGCTACCTTAAGTAAGGTAGCACGCACTTGCCTTATTTATGGCAGCAACCTGTTGCCTATATATTATTGAAAAAAAAAAAAAAAAAAAAAACCCCTACTCAGTTCAGCTTGGAAATGTTCGAATTGAAAGCTTGGATTGAGCCTAACTTTTTTGACCGAGCTTTTGCTCGGCTCAGCTCGACTTGACTCAACTCGTTGAAATCCCTAATCGAGCGTTAAAGACAATATTTAAATATATGTGGCATTTCTTTAAGAGTTTAAACTCTTTTGACGATGTGGTTAACATAGATACTTGAGTGTACATCTTGTTACTTCACACCTAAAAGTTTAAGCACGTTTTATATCTTTAATTCATGGATGAGATCGGTCGATATGGATGAGATATAACAAAAACTTTCCATCTGCATTTCTTGGCTTGACGACTTTTTCCTATTTGTTATCTGAATGAAAGGTCTGTTTAATTGTAAAGATGGAATTTGGGTGGAAAGAAAACGAATTGAGGAAAATTGAATTACTTAGAATTTGTTTTAGTTTGAATTGTCAATTAATAGTGTTTGATTGATATAATTTTTCATTTAAAAAATGTTAAAATAAAAATATCTTTTGGTGTTTATTTGACTTTATTTTTCATAAAAATTGTCAATTTAAGGGATATCCACTTCTAAAATTATTTCTAGAATTTGTTTCCATTGCAAAAAATAAAAAAAATTCTATATTTTGATATTCGTTTGACTTTATTTTTCATAAAAATTGTCAATTAAAGGGATAAAAATTTTTATAATTGTTAATAAAATTTGTTCCCATTGATTAAAAAAAAAAAAAAAAAGCTGGTGAGAATTGGTTTTCAACCAAATCATGAAAAATGCACGTGTAGAAAAAAGATGGAAAATAAATTTAATGAAAAACTTTTGTTATCAAACCCACGAAATTGGTGAAAAATAGAATTCCATTTTTCATGGAAAAATAGCCAATTAAACATGACCTAACTTAAACGCCACTTATAAGTGCGCTGCAGTCTATCAGATTTGCGTCAATAATGTAGGTCCCCCCAATCCAACTGGGGATCGTTTCCTCTACAAAGTACAGAGGCTATATATTAGTCACTCTTTCTTGGTTGAGTATGTAACAAGAAAATTCAATTGCATTAAATAGATATGCCATGTAGAGTCGCATCAACTTGTTAACGTACAATCATGGTGTAACAAGAAAACTTAATTTACTAGATGTGCCACATAGAAACATATTGAACGATAAAAATTTAATTTGTTACTCAACCTTTGTTGGGACGAGGAATTAAGTGACTTGCAAACTAAACTCTTATTTTTGTAGTTGCATTGTCCAATCATATAATATTAGACACGAACCATGATATGTATTAAGATTATCACGTACTTCTCCTCAAAGATAGTTAACAAACAACTCGAATTAGAAACACGTAATTAATAAGGATTGACTGAGATTAAATTAATCAGTTAGACACTTCTTCTTTTTTCTTGCTACAGCTTGAAATTGTTAGGTTGTTTCTTTCAACAACCGGCTAAACATGGAAACGTGAAGGACTAAATAACAGATTATAATGTCATTATTTCCCTAAGTTAGCCAACGCCCCATTGTTTGAGTGTTGAAAGCAAATACAGTGTGTTATTAAATTTCGAACTTTAGTGGTAGACAATATTATAAGACAAGATAATTAACAAGATGTTAACTTTTTTAAGTCTTTAATATTGTTTATGTGTTCTCATTGAACTTCCTACACATGCCATTAGTGTAGAGTGGGTCAAATAGAGTCCTAGCTAAGTTAGCCCCCGTTTTGCTCCATTCTTTCCAAATTCTAATAGTTGAAATAGTATTTTTTCGAAGGATGTGTGGTTGAAAAAAAATAATTTTTTTCGATCTACATGTATATTATTTTATGGAAGATTGTGTGATTGAAAATAAGAAAAAGAAAAAAATGGAAGGAAATAAGGGCCAAACGGGGGCTTAATAAAAAGGTTTAATTATTAATGTATTTATTTTGCCCTTTTCAAAATAAAAGAAAATGTTTTGGATCTTAAGAAACAATAATATTGAAAGCAAATATCATTTTCAGATGAGGACAAGAGAAACTAGAAGAACATTAAGCAAACTAAAATTTAGAGATTGTAGACATGAACTTTTTGAAGATTTTATGGGCTAATTCCATAAATTAATAAAATGACCCAAATTTTATCACAGATTGTTGCCCATATAGCGTGCAGCAATTGGGAAATTTACGGCTAGGTGGAGAGAGGACGCAATGTGTCAGTTCCCCTTGATTGAGATCTAGTGTTAGGTTGATTAACGTGCAATGATGAAGGATTGTCTTTTTGTTGACGACCTATTGTGATAGTTTTTGGTAGGATACTTCAAGGGATCCTAAACCTCCTTTGTTTGGTTAATTCAAGAAAACCAATAAAACTCCCAAATCAACACAAGGTTGAAGACAATGATTATTCGATACTTTTATTCATGGTTTCAAGCTATTAAATAGTTGAGCAGCTTCTTGCTTCCTCCTTAGAAATCTCCTTGTCCTCAAGGAAAAAACGTGCATTCAATTCTGCGAGGTTCTCCCATGTTGACTCAGCAGGTGAAAGATTTTGCCAATGAACCAAGACTTCTTTTTCTCCCCCTTTTATACTGTCTCCAGAATGGCTTGAGGGGGGGGGGGGGGGGGGCAAATTCACTGGGCATTTCGGGTATAGTGGGAGAGACAATATGTTGATTTCCAATCCTTTTTTTAAAAAGAGAAACATGGAAAACTAGGTGAAGCTTTGAAGGGACCAAAAAACTTGGGGCTCAACTTGAGATTTTTTCGTTGTGCTAGAGATAGTTGACTGTAAGGACGCAATTTTAGGTACACATATTCACCAATTTCAAAACTTTTTTTCTGTGCGCTTCGCATCATAATATTTCTTCACATTTCTTGAGAAATTTTTAAATTTGCCTTGACATCTCTAATCACCACATCCCTTTCCAGTAAGAATTTCTCAACTGAATCCACGCGCGAGGTGCCATGAACATATGCCAGCAGGTTGGGAGGTTCACGACCATATACAATCTCGAATGGTGATTTTTTGGTGGATGAGTGTACCCCGGTATTGTAGCAATATTCTGCCCATGGTAGCCAAACTGTCCATTCCTTAGGCTTATAGCTCGTGAAAAACCTCAAGTACATCTCCAAAGTCTTGTTAACCGCCTTGGTTTGACCATCCGTTTGTGGGTGGTATGTCGAACTAAAATTGAATTTGATGCCATTCAAAAGAAATAAATTTTTCCAAAAGAAGCTTGTGAAAACTAGATCACGATCACATAAAATGGACTCAGGCATGCCATGGAGTTTGAATACTTGCTCAAAAAATATATGAGCAATGGTGGGAGCTGTGTAGGGGTGTTTAATGGGAATGAAATGGCTATATTTAGAGAGGCGGTCCACTACCACAAAGATGGTGGAATTACCACGAGAGTTTGGCTAGCCATCCACAAAATCCATGGAAATATCTATCCAGACATGCCATGGTATTAGGAGAGGGTTGAGTAGACTAGCAAGTTGGGCTTAGTCCACTTTATCTCTTCAGCAAACTTCACATTCCTGAATAAATTTCCTTATGTGTGCTTTCATGCCTTTTCAGTAAAAGATAGATCTAATCCTGTGGAGAGATTTATGGAGCCCTTCATGAGTGTTTAAGTGGAATTCCTTGATTATAGGGAGAATCAAATCAGAAGTGGGGAGTAGATAAATTCGGTCTTTGAAAGAAATCAACCCTTCTTTGTATAGCCACGGCCCCAATGCCTCACCTTCCTTGATTTTCTCCATTAAATCCTGCAGTTGAGGGTTAACCATAATTTCTGATTTAATGGGATCTACCCAATTAGGAATAGGGGAGGATATGGCACATGTATGGATTTCAAATTTTCTGGACAGGGCATCCGCAATTGATTTTTCTTTTCCTCTTTTGTAGTGAATTTCAAATCAAATCCCAAGAGCTTCAGTAACCATTTCTGTTGGGTAGACGTTGTAATGGTTTGACTCCATAAAAACTACAAACTTTTGTGGTTGATTTGAACAATAAATTTGGATCCCAAAAGATAAGGGCACCATTTTTGTACTGCCTTAACCAAAGCAAGCATTTCTTTCTCGTATGTGGATAATGCTAGATTCTTACCATGCAATGCTTGACTAAAAAATGCAATTGGTCGATCATATTGCATAGGTATTGTACCTAGACCCACACCAGATGCATCACATTCCACAATAAAAGGTCGAGAGAAGTCCGGAAGTGACAACACCGGCCCAGAAGTCATGGCGCCTTTCAATTTTTCAAATGCTTGCTCCGCAATTGCTGTCCATTTGAACAAATCTTTTTTGAGCATATTTGTCAAAGGTTGGGCAATAACTCCATAAGAGTGAATGAATTTTCGATAATAACTGGTGAGGCCTAAAAACCCACACAACCCTTTTAATGTAGTTGGCTTGGGCCATGTCATCATAGCAGATATTTTTTCGGGATCCATAGCAACCTCGTGATGTGAAATTAAATGCCCCAAGTAGCTGAGCTTTTCCTGTCCAAATTGACATTTTTTCCGCTTGACAAAAAATTGATTAGCTTGCAAAATATGGAAGACCTGCCTTACATGTATTAAATGCTCTTCCCATGTATTGCCAAAAATGAGTATATCATCAAAAAATACCAAGACTAATTTATGAAGAAATTCTTTAAATACCTCATTCGTTACACTTTGGAAAGCGACGGGAGCATTAGTCAAGCCAAAAGGCATG